TATATATATACAGTATATATATATATATATATATATACTGTATATATATAAATTATGTAAAGACAGTAGGATTATTGACAATAGGATTATTCAGATACAAAGTTTATTTTCTCTGACCCTGTTTACAACTTGGTTTATTAAAATCTGTTTATATCGGTCCGCTTGTGTTACTTACATCAGCAAGGGTTAGATTATTTTGTTACAGTTTCTTTGTACAGTCACTGGTCACTGGTGTGTAACATGTTTTATTTGCTCAACAAAATCATTTTTATTTGTATCTGCTGCTTGGCGACTATCCATTTTCAGTCTTTGTGGATTGTGGATGAGACTTTATAGTGATTGTCAACAGTCTGACTACATGAGACCACATCCACTCCAACTTCTATTTGCTGCTCAAGCTCTTTCCTTGTACAGAGCCAGCCAAGCAATTACTGACCGGAATCCTTTCAGCCTATTTGTCCACTGGTGAAATTGTCCGTTAGCCCTGTTTGCCCTCCCGCAAGACCCTCTTTCTGCCCCCCAATAGATTTGATAGTGGTGAGGCAGATCTGCCACAGATCCAGCCCGGCCCACAGCACATCTCTCAGGTCCTTCTCTTCCCCCTGTCCTGGAATAACCTGCTCGCTCTCGGCTCTCCTGTCTGTGGGTTAGTAATGGCTGAGCGCTTGCTGTCACAGGCTGTAATGTCTGTTTTATCCAGTACCTGGCCCCTGACGACTTCAGGGGAGAGAAACTCTCACTCTGACTGGAAATGATTACCTTGAGCTGGGCTGAAGTGGCTCCACACCGCAGGCCCGGGGATGAAGGCTGCGAGCGGGAGTAGACCGCTTGAATAACTGCTGATAAGTTGAGATTGACTCACCAAATGCAGCGTCAGTCAGAATCACAGGCTTCACTTCACTGTTTTAAAAAATAGTGGAAGCAGTTGGACTGCACAGGCTTGTAGTGATGTCACAAAAGGGCAAAGGCTTAGATTATGAATATTAATTAGGTCATGGACACATCATTTAATATGACTTGTTACAGCTTTCCAATATAATTATTCATGAGTTTTCAGCCTTTACAATCCCGGGGATATATAATATAATATTATATTAATATAATATAATATTTCATAGTATTTTGCAGTATATATGAAAAACTTAAACAAGACTAAAAAGTCTTAAGTTGAAGCATTAAAATCACTAATTGGAAATAAATAAAGCAACTAAAACTGAATTAAACTAAACCTGAAACAAAAATAAAATTAACCTAAATATTAATATTTATTTCATTAGTTTTTAATAAAAAAATTATAATAATTGACAAAAGCATATAACAAAATGACTAAGGATTAAACACAAATTAAAAATATATAAAAATAAATCTAACTCAAAATATGAATAAAAACTATAATAGTATATGAATAATACTAAAATAACACTGATGACAACCAAATGCCTTAATCTTTTTTTATTTTTTATTTTTTTTTGAAGGATAAGTCTCATTCAAGACATTTCAGAGAGAGAGAGAGTAAATAAATACAATATTAAATATAAATCATAAAATATAACAGTAAAATATAATATTATGTTATAGTATAATATTACATTTTTAACAAATACAAATAATAGTATTAAATAAATGATTTACATATAAAACTTGTATTAGAGAAATCTATGTATTTATTTTTGATTTGTTTAAAAAGAAAATATATATTGTTATATTATAATTTTACAAAATCTCCCCAGTGTCCATAACTTACGGATATGGTCAGAATGTCTGTGCATTTATTTGCTGAATTTGGCTGGTTGAAATTGTCGCTATGCCAGTGGCTCGATTTACTCTTTATTTCAGCAAACTGCTGTGTAATGGATTTCATTGCTCCATGTCACAGCTGGTTTCTGAACACATTACGTGTGATAACACCAGCTGACCTCTATTACTGATATACCCCACTGTCCAGGACAAGGCCACACCTGGCAGTATGAACCTCAGCCACTAGCTGTCAATGGATGGAGAATGGAGGGAATTAGTTTATCTGCCAGTGATGCCATTAGGAAATATACACACAGAGGTTAACTGTTTTTGTTAACCCAGTGTGCCACAGAGACCTGCTAATTTGCACTCTAGTCTGATATCAAACTACTAACGAAAATCCTCAATCAAACAGCCTAACCTAACATTTCAGTTATTCACATTGGCTTTGTGTTTTTTGATTGATTTGTATCTTTTGCTATTTACTAATTTGTGTTTAAGCTGATTTTTACCAGCACACTTGCATGAACCCCTTTGAGAAACCTGATGTTAGTAGTGAAAGTTGGTGGTGCTTGACCGCTTGTGATGCTATTTAGGGATTTAGAATGCCATAAATAATTAATACTTGATTTCCCCACTTTAATTATGAACAGATTATTTCCAAAATTATATTCCAAAATTAAATCACTAAATAAATAATTAAAGAAACGATTAACTATACAATTAAATAGTTAATGAAAACATAAAAAGCATTATATTATTAATTTTTAAATCACCTAATTAATTTATTCAATTAATTATTATTAAATCGCCTAACAAATTAATAAATTGTATTTCATTTTAGCATTAGCTTATCATTAAAAAAAATTTAAAATGTAAAACGTAATGCTAAAATGAAATGAACATATTAATTTGTTTGTATTTCATTTGAGCATGAGTTTAATTTCATTAGTCATTTTTGTCATCATGAAAAATGTAAAAAGTAATGCTAAAATGAAGTACAATAGACATTTATGAGTTTGTTTGATTTGATAATTAATGTAATTAATAATTAATGTAATGTAGCATTTTGTTAAATGCTTTTTGTTAACAATTTTGTATTTCACAATTTATTTAAATATTCAATGATTTAATTTTTGTAATTTGGCCCTTTGTATTTAATTAGATCTGCAAGCAAATTAACTAAAAATCACTCCCTTAACACAGCATACATGAATTATCAGTAAATTTAATGGCTGTAATTTCATATTTGGTTTTCATAATAATAATAATTAAATTTTAATTGTCAAAGTGTCAGCACGCGTGTTATAGCTGTGGTTATAGACATATGAATAATTACCATTTAATTGGTGCATATTGGATATGAAATATCAGACACAGTAGTAACTCGCATGTTGATGAGTTTCCCGGCAACACAGACAGATGTGATAGAATTAAGAGCAAGTGTGCAGTAATTGCGGTAAATATGAGTTTTACCCAGTTGCATACCATAAGTAGATTGGTCCCTCTAAGTGAGATCCCAATTCGTCGGTCATCCGACGTGACGTCGAGAGTGACCGACTGAAAGGGAACCCTCTTCATGTCCCTGCTTCATTCATGTAATGAGTGAAGATCCAACAGAAGGCTTATGAAATCTCATTTAATAGCTTTCTGCTCCAGAGCAGCATTATCTGAGGTAGACGTGCCGACACCAGGAGCCGATTTATTGACTTGTGTTTAATTATCATCAGCGGTTCAGTGTGATAATATCTCACACCAGCCGCATCACCATCTTTCTCTCTCTCTCTGCTCACAAACGTCTCAGTATTGAGCATTGCTCTTCTGAAGTCAGGCGGAGGAGCGCTCCTCTGCTGCTAATGGGTTCGGCAGCACTGCAGAGGAGAAAGACAGCGTCAGTCTCGTC